AACCCTAAAACCCTAAACCCCTAAACCCCTAAAACCCTAACGCTAACCCTAAAACCCGCTAACCCTAAAACCCTAAAACCCTAAAACCCTAAAACCCTAAAACCCTAAAACCCTAAAACCCTAAAACCCTAAAACCCTAAAACCCTAAAACCCTAAAACCCTAAAACCCTAAAACCCTAAAACCCTAAAACCCTAAACCCCTAAAACCCTAAAACCCTAAAACCCTAAAACCCCTAAAACCCTAAAACCCTAAAACCCTAAACCCCTAAAACCCTAAAACCCTAAAACCCTAAAAAAACCCTAAAACCCTAAAACCCTAAAACCCTAAAACCCTAAAACCCTAAAAAAACCCTAAAACCCTAAAAAAACCCTAAAACCCTAAAAAAACCCTAAAACCCTAAAACCCTAAAACCCTAAAACCCTAAAAAAACCCTAAAACCCTAAAACCCTAAAACCCTAAAACCCTAAAACCCTAAAACCCTAAAACCCTAAAACCCGCTAACCCTAAAACCCGCTAACCCTAAAACCCGCTAACCCTAAAACCCGCTAACCCTAAAACCCGCTAACCCTAAAACCCTAAAACCCGCTAACCCTAAAACCCGCTAACCCTAAAACCCGCTAACCCTAAAACCCGCTAACCCTAAAACCCGCTAACCCTAAAACCCGCTAACCCTAAAACCCGCTAACCCTAAAACCCGCTAACCCTAAAACCCGCTAACCCTAAACCCGCTAACCCTAAACCCCGCTAACCCTAAACCCCGCTAACCCTAAAACCCTCTAACCCTAAAACCCTCTAACCCTAAAACTCTCTAACCCTAAAACTCTCTAACCCTAAAACTCTCTAACCCTAAAACTCTCTAACCCTAAAACTCTCTAACCCTAACTCTCTAACCCTAACCCTAACTCTCTAACCCTAACTCTCTAACTGAAACCACTCACTTAAAACTTTGAAACATAAAAGGTTAACACAAAATTGTAAGAGAAATTTCAAAACCTTAACATTAGGAAACTAGGCAGTCCTTGAGATAGCAACTCAGCGAATCCTAGAGCAGTCCTAGAGAGATAGCTGCATTCCTCACAGAGATAGCAACTCAGCAAATCGTAGGATGAGCCAAAAGTCAGCCTGACCTTATTGTGTTTGCCAAAACTGCCTTAAAAGGAGAAGATCGAAAGAAAGTTCAGAAGTTTACAGTGAGGAAGACTCACACACGACCCCCGCCCAGAGGAAGGCAACAGGAACCCCCACCGTGAAATCTCCCCAAATTGAAGACTCCGCCCAGACTCCGCCTTCATATGAATATTACAATTAGATGTTGCAATTTAATGAATATGTATGATTGTGTTGTAATCCTATACTCAAAAACTGTATAAAAGAGCTATGCTAATTGTACACGACGGAGCTCTTTGCCCAGGGCGACCTGGAGAGCTCCCCAACGCGTTGGGCGACCTGGAGAGCTCCCCAACGCGTTGCTAATAAAATACCTCCTGCTTTAAAGAAACAAACTTTGTCTCTAAAGCAGTTTCTCCGTGCCTTTTTGGGCAAAATTTCGGCATCATTTTGGCGACCCAGATGGGACGTTTTGGTCCTCCTGAGCCGGGGCCTGGGGGTCTAGGGACTCTCTGGGCCCTGCCGGCGGATTTTTGTCGGTAGAGACTCCCCAGACCCCTCGGACCTACGTGCGACGGCGGACAAGAACTCCTGCTTTAAATTAAGAGGTATTTTGCTTTATATGTTGTTGTGTTTTGCTTTATATGTTGTTGTGTTTTGCTTTATATGTTTTTGGAATAGAAAGCACTTTATTGAGACGGGGGTAAGACGTTACCCCCAGGGGAACGCTGAGGGGACGCCCCAGCATATAATCCCCTACGGGTTAGAGTCCCGGCTTGGATTTGGCCACCCCCAGGTATCGTGGGTTAGAGTCCCACTTTGGGTTAGAGTCCCAAAAATTCGGGTTAGAGGCCCGGCCTTGGGGTGGACCCCCAGGTATCATGGGTTAGAGTCCCACTTTGGGTTAGAGTCCCACTTCGGGTTATAGTCCCAAAAATTCGGGTTAGAGGCCCGGCCTTGGGGTGGACTTCCAGGTAATCGTGGGTTAGAGTCCCACCAGAGAACGGAGAACGGGTTAAAATTCGGATAAGTTTGCCGGCAAAAATTGTCTGTCGTATCGCTTGTCTGTCGTATCGCTTGTCTGTCGTATCGCTTGTCTGTCGTATCGCTTGTCTGTCGTATCGCTTGTCTGTCGTATCGCTTGTCTGTTGTAGTGTTTTAACTACTCTGGGATTATTTCCAAAAGTCTGGGAAGGTTTCGACAAATTCTGGGAGTGGTGCCAATCTCTGGGAGCGGTTCCAATAACTTCTCTCGAGAAAGGACTTTGGAATGTGAAAAAAACTTACAGTATGAAATATGAGTTTTACTTATTTTCTTAAATTCTGCTTATTTTCTGTACTGTTTAATGGACTGCGCATCTAAATCTTAGGATAAAAATCTGTTCTTTCTGTAATTGTTCATTCTATAGTGTAACAGTACATGTAAGCCCAAAGAGAATGCAAGAAATTGTACTTGATTAAGATGAGGCAGGGATCAAATACTTTGTAAACGATATATCTTTTAGCTTGCAACAGACTGAATATTGGGCAGCAGTATTTTACGGTCTGCAAGTGACACCTCGCGACTTTATTTGGTAAAGCAATAAGCTAAAAGGTAAGAACGTTTCATCTAAAAGTGTACAGGTGTGAATGCGTGTGAGTGAGACGTGCAAATAAGCACGAAGTGAGTGCGGAGTCCTAATCTGCGGTTCCTGTTCTTCGCGAGAAGCCAGGCCAGAGACGGACGAAGCGATTGGAAACTGTGTGTATGAAGTATTGACACAAAAAAAAAAAAAAAAAAAAGAAAAAAAAAAAAAAAAGAAAAAGAGAAAGCGGATCACAGAAGCTGAGTAGTCCACAAGGCTCAGAAAATTACCGAGAAGAGAGTAGTCCTCTCAGTTCGGAGACTGATAAGAAAGAGGACAGCTCACCACGACTGGAGCTAGAGGTTCGGGAAAAAAAAAGAGTAGCCCACCTAAACTGAGAGGTAGCCAAAATAGAGATTGCAGTACACCATGAGATGAAAACACCTCACGAAGATCAGGCAGCCCGCCAAGTCCAGGCGGCCCGCCAGGACCAGGCAGCCTGCCAGGATCAGGGAGCACCAGAAAGGGGGGTAGCTTCCCTGAGCTAAGATGCAGTGATGATGATGATGATATAGTTAGCCAGAACAAAAAGGCAGACAACTCACAGAAATTGAGTATAGTCATTCAGATAGAGGATAAAAGAGAGACCTGCAAACGCTATCATTGTACATCAGAACAGTGAATGAGGGGGACCGGTGAGTCGTTCCCTAGCAGACCCACTGGTTAAAATGAAGCTAGGGGAAGGTGAAAAAGAATTAAACTTTTTAATAGATACAGGAGCAACATTTTCGGTTTTGAATCAAGAATTGGTACCCAGAAGTGATGAATTTGTACAGGTCGTGGGAGCGACAGGCCAACCAGAAAAAGCCTACTTTCTAAAACCTATTAAATACAAAATTGGGAAACAGATGGGAATTCATCAATTTTTGTATTTACCAAATTCTCCAAAGCCTCTAATAGGTAGAGACCTATTAGAGAATTTAGGGGCGGTAATAAAATTCAATAAAGATAAACTTGAGTTTCAAGTAAATGATGAACAACTAATAGCAGCTTGAAGTCTGACAATCAGCTATATAAAACCAAAACCTGAAAGTCGTAGCATTGAACGCATTATGAGTGAAGTATACCCACTAGTATGGGCTACTGATGTACCTGGAAGGTCAAAACGAGCAGCTCCTATTAATATTGAGTTAATACCAGGAACAAAACCGGTAGTAAGAAAACAATACCCGCTGAGGTTGGAAGATAGAAGGGGAATTGAACCAATAATAGAGAAATTTCTAGAACTAGGATTATTGGTAGAGTGTGAATCAGATTTCAATACACCAATCCTACCTGTTAAGAAACCGAATGGGACATATAGATTAGTTCAAGATTTAAGGGCAGTGAATGAAATTACAACAACTTTACACCCGGTCGTAGCAAATCCCTATACTCTTCTAACCAAATTGAGGGAAAGTTTTAAATGGTTCACAGTATTAGACTTAAAAGATGCATTCTTTTGCCTAGCCTTAGCTCTAACAAGCCAGAAAATTTTTGCTTTTGAATGGGAATCTGCTAAAACAGGGAGAAAGACTCAACTAGCTTGGACTGTGTTACCACAGGGATATAAAAATAGTCCCACGATTTTTGGAAACCAATTGGCCAAAGAATTAGAACAATGGGAAAGGCCACTGGGAAATGGTACCCTTCTACAATATGTAGATGATTTATTAGTAGCAACTGAGACAGAAGAAGAGTGCATTGAATGGACTATTTCCCTGCTAAACTTTTTGGATATCGAGTTTCTCTACAAAAGGCACAGCTGGTACAAGAAAAGGTGATATACCTGGGATATGAAATCTCCAGGGGACAACGATCTCTAGGCACAGCAAGAAAAGAAGCCATCTGTCAGATGCCCAGACCAGAAACGGTAAGAGATCTGCGGGCCTTTCTGGGAATGACAGGATGGTGCTGATTATGGATTCATCAATATGGAATACTTGCCAAACCACTATATGACTTACTAAAGGAGACTACGAGTACCTTAACCTGGACTCCCGAGGCAGAAGGAGCTTTTAAAAGACTGAAACAAGAACTCATGAAAGCCCCAGCCTTGGGTCTTCCAGATGTAACTAAGCCGTTTTGGTTATTCTCCCATGAGTGGCAGGGGATGGCTCTGGGAGTTCTAGCACAGCAGTTGGGACCACATAAGAGAGCTGTAGCTTATTTCTCCAAACAATTGGATGAAGTAAGCAAAGGCTGGCCTGGGTGCCTAAAAGCAGTGGCCGCAGTGATCATAAACATAGAAGAGGCCAGAAAGCTTACGCTAGGCCAGAAAATGACTGTGTTAGTCTCTCATACTGTCTCAGCAGTGCTGGAACAAAAGGGTAACCATTGGTTATCGCCTTCAAGATTCCTAAAATATCAAGCCATCCTAGCTGAATCAGATGATGTAACCATTCAAGTAACTAACATTGTCAACCCAGCTTCGTTTCTAGAAGGAAGAATTCCGGCAGAACCTCTCGAACATGATTGCCTGGAAACGATCAAGGCAGTCTATTCCAGTCATCCAGACCTCAAGGAGGAACCATTTGAAGATGCGGACAACTGGTTCTCGGACGGCAGCAGCTTCGTGAGGCAAGGAGTAAGAATGGCAGGCTATGCAGTGACCACAACAGAAGAGGTAATTGAATCAAATCCCCTACCTGCAGGGACTTCGGCCCAGAAGGCAGAACTGATTGCTCTTACCCGAGCCCTGGAATTAGCAGAAGGTATGCGAATTAACATTTGGACTGATTCTAAATATGCTTTCTCTGTCGTACATGCTCACGGAGCGATTTGGAAAGAAAGGGGACTATTAACTGCCCAGGGAAAACAATCAAACATGCAGAAGAAATTCTAAGGTTGTTAGAAGCGGTCCAACTCCCAGAGCAGGTGGCCATAATGCATTGTAAGGGACACCTGAAAGGTAACACAGTTCCAGAAGTAGGGAATAGGAAGGCAGATGCAGAAGCCAAATTAGCTGCTGCAAAAACTGAAGAAATAAACATAACAGCTTTAATACCAGGAGAATTAAATACAAATTTTCAACCAAATTATCAAGAATCAGATCAAAGATGGATTAAAAGGAACAAGGGTAAATTGTTAGACAACGGGTGGGGACAGTTAGAAACAGGTCAACTAATAATACCTGAAAAATTAATGTGGCAGTTTGTAAAGATAGAACATGAAAAAGCCCATTGGGCCTTGGACCCACTCTATCAATATTTACAAACCCGAATAGCAGGACCAAAACTCTTTACTACAGTAAAATACGTCACATCTCAATGTGGAACGAAGGTACATCAGGGAGCCATAAATCGAGGTAAATTCCCAGGTGAAGTGTGGCAAATTGATTTTTCAGAACTCCCAAGAAAAGGGGGGTTTCGATATTTATTAGTATTAACTGACACATTTTCTGGGTGGCCTGAAGCATTCCCTTGTAGGACAAATAAAGAAAGAGAAGTAACCAAGGTTTTACTAAACGAAATAATACCCCGATTTGGGGTACCGAGAAGTATATCTTCAGACAGAGGTACGCATTTTTGTGCAAAAGTAGTAAGAGCAATAAGCAAGGCATTACAAATTAAGTGGCAGTTACATACGCCTTACCGGCCTCAGGCCAGTGGGCAAGTCGAAAAGATGAATCATCTGATTAAACAACAAATTGCTAAGATATGCCAAGAAACCAATTGACAGTGGTATCAGGCTCTGCCTATTGCTCTGCTTAGACTGAGAGTCAAACCCAGATCAAAAGAAAAATTGAGTCCGTTTGAAATTCTGTATGGAAGACCTTATGCTATGCAGATTGTAAATGGAGATGCTGTAGACCAAATAGGTAATCAGTACATTTATGATTATGTAATCGCTATAGGGAAACATTTTGATAAAAGTACAGCTGTGGTGATAGAACATCAACCCAAACAGCCTGATTGTAAATTACATCCGTTCAACCCCGGTGACTGGGTGTATGTTAAGAATCTCTTAGGAAAACCCCTACAAGAAAAGTGGGAAGGACCTTTCCAAATTCTGCTGACCACCTTCACCGCGGTCCGGATCAAAGAGCGACCTACATGGATTCATTACTCACGAGTCAAGAAAGCTCCGGAGAATAAGCAAGAGGAAGAAACAAGTGAAACACCAGCATCTGCAGATAATTGTTTGGGTACCAAGCCCATGAGTAAAAGTCCTGTGTGAATATGGACACAGCACTACCATTAGTGGGATATTTTTAAAGGGCATTCCCCAACAGCAACTCAAGTATTCCACTACCTTGTGCACCCAATACTAATCATAACCATAGCTATGCTTTTACTAACACTCACAAACATATACCTATGGAGCAGACTGAAATCCTTAATGACAAAAACCCAAACACTTTGGGCAATGATCCAATCTTACCAACGTCCCTTAGAGATTAAAACTTGACGAAAGAATTCGTAAGTTATAAGAAAAGGGGGAAAATGAAGCCACTCACTTAAAACTTTGAAACATAAAAGGTTAACACAAAATTGTAAGAGAAATTTCAAAACCTTAACATTAGGAAACTAGGCAGTCCTTGAGATAGCAACTCAGCGAATCCTAGAGCAGTCCTAGAGAGATAGCTGCATTCCTCACAGAGATAGCAACTCAGCAAATCGTAGGATGAGCCAAAAGTCAGCCTGACCTTATTGTGTTTGCCAAAACTGCCTTAAAAGGAGAAGATCGAAAGAAAGTTCAGAAGTTTACAGTGAGGAAGACTCACACACGACCCCCGCCCAGAGGAAGGCAACAGGAACCCCCACCGTGAAATCTCCCCAAATTGAAGACTCCGCCCAGACTCCGCCTTCATATGAATATTACAATTAGATGTTGCAATTTAATGAATATGTATGATTGTGTTGTAATCCTATACTCAAAAACTGTATAAAAGAGCTATGCTAATTGTACACGACGGAGCTCTTTGCCCAGGGCGACCTGGAGAGCTCCCCAACGCGTTGCTAATAAAATACCTCCTGCTTTAAAGAAACAAACTTTGTCTCTAAAGCAGTTTCTCCGTGCCTTTTTGGGCAAAATTTCGGCATCATAACCCTAACCCTCTAACCCTAACTCTCTAACCCTAACTCTCTAACCCTAACCCTCTAACCCTAACTCTCTAACCCTAACTCTCTAACCCTAACTCTCTAACCCTAACTCTCTAACCCTACCCTAACCCTAACCCTAATTCTCTAACCCTAACCCTGAACCCTAACACTGACCCTTCCCCCTAACCCTAATCATTAAACTCGAACCCTAACACTAACCCTAACCTAAACCCCTAACCCAAACCCTAACTAACCTAACCCTAACACTTAACCCTAACCCTAACCCTTATCCCTAACCCTAAACATTAAACCCAAACCCTAACACTAACCCTAACCTAAACCCCTAACCCAAACCCTAACTAACGTAACCCTAACCCTAACACTTAACCTTAACCCTAACCCTTTCTCCCAGGAAAGAAAGAGCTTACCCTCAGGGTCCAGAGTGCAGTTGGTAGGGCAGCCTGGGCGCTCCATGGGCAGCAGGAGCTTTCTGTGATGGCACCTCTTGTCTGGCAGGAATCTTTCTTCTTATTCCATTTGGAAGTCAGAGTAGCAACATCAGTGCAGCATTCCTGCAAGCGAACGACAGGCCTTTCTCCCAGAAAAGCAAGTGCTTACCCTTGGCTTGAAGGTCTGGGTTGTAGGTCGGCCTGGGCACTCCACGGGTAGAAGGAGCTTTTGGCCTGGCCACCTTCTGTCTGGGAGGAATCTTTCTTTGTCTTCAATTTTTGCAGGCGGACTGGGAATTTCAGCGCAGCGCTCCTGCAAGCAAACCAAAGTCCTTTCTGCTAGGACAGAAAGGGCTTACCCCCAAGGTCTTACGTGCACTTTGTGGGGCAGCCTGGGCCCTCCAAGGGAAACAGGAGCTTTTTGTGATGGCTCCTTTTCTTTGGGAGCCATCTTCATTCCAATCCCATTTTGTTGTCAGACGAGCAATTTCAGCACAGGATTATTGCAAGCCAACTACAGCGCTTTCTCCTAGGAAAGAAAATGCTTACCCTCAGGGGCTTAGGTGCAGCTGGTGGGCTGGTCTGGGCAATCCATGGGGAGCAGGAGCTTTCTCTGATGGCACCTCTTGTCTGGGAGGAATCTTCATCCCTCTCCCACGGCCCCCTCACGCTCCACCCCCAGCCCACAGGGCAGCTGGGCAGCCCCAGTGCAGCCGATCCCGCAGTCTCAGGGAACTGCCACAATTCCTACGGGTGCATCCATCCACAGGGAAGGCTGCGGGGTGGCTCCAAGAGGCTCCCGCTGGCCAGACTCTGACCAACAGAGCCGGCTTTAGGCCAGGCCTGGCACTGTCCGGCCATGGGCATGGGCAGCTTCTCATGAGCTCCAAGTTGGCCACCCCTGGAGCGCTGGTCAGGTGCCCCGGCAGGGACGAGGGTGGAGGGCACAGAACAGCTGCACACACGTGGCCTGCCTTTCTCCAGCAACACTCACACCAACTGCACACTTCAGCCAGGGCACCTGAGCACAGACAGCCTTCACCCTGTTCCTCAGGGGCAGCAGCCCCTGACAACATAGACAACAACTCCCTATTGTTCATAAAATCAGTGTAATTACTGTGATTAGTGGATGGAATAAAGTGTTCCAAAACTTCCTATCAGATGGTGAGAATGCTGTAAATATGTCCCCCCAGAGGTGAGCAGTGAGTTGTTCTACCTGATGCCCAAAGGTCACCAATGGACCCCCTCTATTTACTCTTTGCATTTGATGATCAGGTCAAGTCTTATGGAGCCACACTCGAGGGGGCCAGGTAAACATGCCCTGCCTGCCCTGCCCAGGGAAAGGGAACTGACCCCAGTGTTCCTCAGCACAAGGCAGCCCTTGGAAATATCCACTGCCCTTCCACAGTCAGGCACAGCAATAAGCACTCCACAAGGCTGCTGTGGCAGAGGACCAATCTGAAGCTCAGCTTTTCTCTGTACCACTTCACCTTGTTTGCCACCTCATCCTGTCCTCAAAACTTGCTGTCCTTGCACCTTTTTAGGCTGACCATCAGTTGAAGAGGCCTCCACTCCAGCACCCACAAGGGCCTGAGCCCTTTGACAAGATGCATTTTTCCAAGGAATTCAAAGCTCCACCTGAGGGCCATGGGCTTTTCTCACCCACCCTTGTGCTGGAGCTCGGCCTTCATCTCACTCTGCCTTCGCTTCTTTCAGTGGCTGCTCCATTTCCTGCCCTGCCTGGGCTGGAGCTCGGCATCCTGATCCCATTCCTGCCGGCCCCCGGAACTGCTGACTCAGCAATGGGGGGCCCTCCATTGCCAAGTGCACGGTCCCGTCGAGGCTCACGGGGGGAGCAGGAGGTCGAAGGGCTCCAGCCCTCCTGGGACAACCTTCCACCACTACAGCCAACAAAGGAGCCTCTCCAGCCCTGCCTCCAAAGGCACCCTGAACAAACCCAGCCCAACTCCACGGGACAAATTGCTCCCTGTCTGCCCAGTCCAATCTGATCCCAGAGGCTCCCAGCTCATGCAGCCCAACTATCCAGGAGATCACAGACTCTCTGGCCTTTGCTTTAAACCTCTCCATAACACCAGGAAGTTCAGGCTGAGTAAAATCCTCCACCACACCAGGCCTGATGGGATAACCATCGGGGTCACCTTCCACTTTCCCTCCTGTTATTGGCTGAGCTTCAGCAAACACTTCAACCTCTGAACCATGCTTTAAAGCAGCTAAATCCCAAGCATCTCCATCCCAGGTTTTGGGATCCCAACCCATCCCTGCCTCTGCAGTCACAGCATGCACTGGTTTACTTGACCACTTCGCTTCTCATATTTATATTGGGTTACCTGGAGAGTCACTTCTGCTACTGTTTGACAACTGTCTAAGCTGGCCCTTCAAAGGCCACAACTGTTTTCCTTAATTCCAATCCCAGACTCCTTTGACAGCTGGAGCACCACTTTTAGAACCCAGTTACAGTCCATTCCGGAGCTCCATGGCCAGGACAGACAGCTCCACCTCTGATACTCTCAGGAATGCCTGAATCCATTCCAGGGACCTTGCTTTCAGCTCCCCAGCTTGGGGCACTCAGAGGAGCTCCCCGAAGAACAATTTCGGTGCGCGCTGGAGTTCTCCGAGTGTCCCAGCCCGGGGGGCAGCAACAGCACTGTCCCTCCAGGGGGGCCCAATCTGCCCCCGAAATGCAGGGGGATCTTGCCCGTGTCCCAGACTGCTCCGGGGATCTGAGGGCCTTCCCGAGAACATCTCGGTGCCGGCGTGAAGGCCCAGAGATCCCTGGGCACACCAGGAGAGCAGGCGCAGAGTCCCTGCCTGGGGCCAATCTGGCTGCCCAAAAATGAAGAAGCCTCTAAGACTCAGCTGGGGAGTTTTAGAAGCCAGGCATTCCTTGCTGACAACACCCTGCAGTGATCCCAGCCCACCAGGGGTCCTGGCCATCAGCTCCTACAGCACTTATAACCATACACACCTACCCTGATAAAGATTCTGAGGGGCTTCATCCAGGGGCCTCCGAGGTCTTCTCTGTCTGGAGCATCCAAAGTCCTGAGTGCCCGCCTTAGGAACCTCGAGAAAACTCACCTGCTGACAGTGGAACTCAGTGCTGCTTGGCTGCTGCCTCATTTCCCTTCTTCCTTGTTTCTTCACCTCACTGGGTTAGTCCCTTTCAATCCTCTGGCTCAGCTCTGGGCAGTTTCCACGCCACAGCCCCCTGCAAAAAGTATCAGCACTCGTTACACCTCAAAACTCAGACAGCATCCACCCTTTTTTCCTGACACTTGGCCATTAGGCCAAGGTCTCCTTATTTAAAGCACAGTTGGACTCCTGAGGGACTACAACAGCTACAGCCCTGAATCCTAACACAGGCTGAGGGACAAACACGGATGACAACTTGGAAGGATGCAGTTTGTTCTGCTGGAATCCAAAGGAGTTCCACCAACTCAAAAATAGGGTGCCCAAGGTCCCTTTTCTGCAACTTGAACTGCTAGAAATGGGATCAACCAGGCCTGCAAAGGCCCTTTCCACTTCACCTGGACAGGCTGGGAGTCCCACCGCCTGACAGGGACCCAGCGGCTGGGCAGGAACGGACGGGCTGGGGCGTCCAATCCATCGGCCGGGGTGTCAACGTCAATTCCGGGAGTTTCTGCAGGGCAGATCCTAAAAGCAGCAAAGAATTATGAGGATCGTTTTTGCTTTCATGGGAATACCTCCTGCAATAGGGGGAGTTGATAAGGCCTCCTGGTGCAACAAGGACAGACTTACGGCCATCTACTCAGAGTATCTACTAGCACTGAAAAGGTATCACTGTCCTCCTTCCAGGGCTAACTGGGAAAAAGGCTGCCTAAAGGCTGCCCTTGCACCATCTATCCAAGGCAGGAAACTCATACAGGGGCTTTCAAAAGTTTGCATCGGTCTTACCACACCCCCGTAGCGTGCAATCCGGAGTCCTCACTGTCCTACCGTTCCCAGGAAGGCACTTCATGGACTGCCTGTTGCTCAGGAAGGGCTCAGGTGGCTTCATTTCTTCCTTCCCAATTTCCAGAGTTTCTCCTTCAAAAGCAAAGGTTTCTTGGCTTGCCTTGCTCCTGGGGGATGCAACAAAAGGTATCTTTTAAATCTACTGCTGGCATTCTGATTTTCAAGGATACTGGGGTTGCCTTACCCACACAGATCCCAGCTTAGGGCTAATACCTACAGGCTCTGCCCTCTTCCATTCTCCTGGAATTCCACTGGCCCTCACCACAGGAACAACTCCATCTGCCGCTTCAGTCGGGATGGTGCTGCTGACGGGAGTTATTTCCTGCACAAGAAGAGCTGCTGCTCTCACACAGTTAGTGTCAGCAACTACAATTTCAATCTCCCCATTTTCCAAGTTCATTTCTGCCTCAACTTGTCCAACCCATCTCTTCCTAGCAAAGGCTTAGGGGAGCTTGCAAATAAACAAACTGAGGAATTACCCAGTGTTTTCCCAGTTTAACCCCTGTCACACCAATCACCTTCCCAGTGCCATCCCCTAATTCTCCCTCTGGGGTGTTAAGGTCTGAGGAAGCTGGACCTGTGTCTGACCAGGACACGTGCAAACCAAACGGTGGGGACTGGAACCCACACCTTGCACTCCTGCAGCTCTCACAATTCCAGTCAAGAGAAAACAGCTAACGGTACCATCACCACTCATTCCTTAAATCCAATCCCACACTCCTTTTGCTGTTGGAGCACCACTTTTAGAACCCAGTTACAGTCCATTCCGGAGCTGCGTGGCCAGGACACATAGCTACACCTCTGATACTCTCAGGAATGCCTGAATCCATTCCAGGGACCTTGCTTTCAGCTCCCCAGCTTGGGGCACTCAGAGGAGCTCCCCGAAGAACAATTTCGGTGCGCGCTGGAGTTCTCCGAGTGTCCCAGCCCGGGGGGCAGCAACAGCACTGTCCCTCCAGGGGGGTCCAATTTTCCCCCGAAATGCAGGGGGATCTTGCCCGTGTCCCAGACTGCTCCGGGGATCTGAGGGCCTTCCCGAGAACATCTCGGTGCCGGCGTGAAGGCCCAGAGATCCCTGGGCACACCAGGAGAGCAGGCGCAGAGTCCCTGCCTGGGGCCAATCTGGCTGCCCAAAAATGAAGAAGCCTCTAAGACTCAGCTGGGGAGTTTTAGAAGCCAGGCATTCCTTGCTGACAACACCCTGCAGTGATCCCAGCCCACCAGGGGTCCTGGCCATCAGCTCCTACAGCACTTATAACCATACACACTTACCCTGATAAAGATTCTGAGGGGCTTCATCCAGGGGCCTCCGAGGTCTTCTCTGTCTGGAGCCCCCAAAGTCCCGAGTGTCTGCCTTAGGAGCCTCAAGACAACTCACCTGTTGACAGAGGAACTTGGTGCTGCTTGGCTGCTGCCTCACTTCCCTTCTTCCTTGTTTCTTCACCTCACTGGGTTAGTCCCTTTCAATCCCCTGGCTCAGCTCTGGGCACTTTCGACGCCACAGCCCCCTGCAAAAAGTATCAGCACTCGTTACACCTCAAAACTCAGACAGCATCCCCCCTTTTTTCCTGACACTTGGCCATTAGGCCAAGGTCTCCTTATTTAAAGAACAGTTGGACTCCTGAGGGACTACAACAGCTACAGCCCTGAATCCTAACACAGGCTGAGGGACAAACACGGATGATAACTTGGAAGGATCCAGTTTGTTCCGCTGGAATCCAAAGGAGTTTCCCCAACTCAAAAAGAGGGTGCCCAAGGTCCCTTTTCTGCAACTTGAACTGCTAGAAATGGGATCAACCAGGCCTGCAAAGGCCCTTTCCACTTCACCTGGACAGGCTGGGAGTCCCACCGCCTGACAGGGACCCAACGGCTGGGCAGGAACGGACGGGTTGGGGCGTCCAATCCATCGGCCGGGGTGTCAACGTCAATTCCGGGAGTTTCTGCAGGGCAGATCCTAAAGGCAGCAAAGAATTATGAGGATCGCTTTTTGCTTTCATGGGAATACCTCCTGTAATAGGGGAGCTTGATAAGGCCTCCTGGTGCAACAAGGACAGACTTACGGCCATCTACTCAGAGTATCTACTAGCACTGAAAAGGTATCACTGTCCTCCTTCCAGGGCTAACTGGAAAAAAGGCTGCCTAAAGGCCGCCCTTGCACCACCAATCCAAGGCAGGAAACTCTTACAGGGGGTTTCAAAAGTTTGCATCGGTCTTACCACCCCCGTAGGGAGCAATCCGGAGTCCTCACTGTCCTACCGTTCCCAGGAAGGCACTTCATGGACTGCCTGTGGCTCAGGGAGGGCTCAGGTGGCTTTGTTTCTTCCTTCCCAATTTCCAGAGTTTCTCCTTCAAAAGCAAAGGTTTCTTGGCTTGCCTTGCTCCTGGGGGATGCAACAAAAGGCATCTTTTAAATCTACTGCTGGCATTCTGATTTTCAAGGATACTGGGGTTGCCTTACCCACACAGATCCCAGCTTAGGGCTAATACCTACAGGCTCTGCCCTCTTCCATTCTCCTGGAATTCCACTGGCCCTCACCACAGGAACAACTCCATCTGCCGCTTCAGTCGGGACGGTGCTGCTGACGGGAGTTATTCCCTGCACAAAAAGAGCTGCTGCTCTCACACAGTTAGTGTCAGCAACTACAATTTCAATCTCCCCATTTTCCAAGTTCATTTCTGCCTCAACTTGTCCAACCCATCTCTTCCTAGCAAAGGCTTAGGGGAGCTTGCAAATAAACAAACTGAGGAATTACCCAGTGTTTTCCCAGTTTAACCCCTGTCACACCAATCACCTTCCCAGTGCCATCCCTTAATTCTCCCCCTGGTCTGTTAAGGTCTGAGGAAGCTGGACCTGTGTCTGACCAGGACACGTGCAAACCAAACGGTGGGGACTGGAACCCACACCTTGCACTCCTGCAGCTCTCACAATTCCAGTCAAGAGAAAACAGCTAACGGTACCATCACCACTCATTCCTTAAATCCAATCCCACACTCCTTTTGCTGTTGGAGCACCACTTTTAGAACCCAGTTACAGTCCATTCCGGAGCTCCATGGCCAGGACAGACAGCTACACCTCTGATACTCTCAGGAATGCCTGAATCCATTCCAGGGACCTTGCTTTCAGCTCCCCAGCTTGGGGCACTCAGAGGAGCTCCCCGAAGAACAATTTCGGTGCGCGCTGGAGTTCTCCGAGTGTCCCAGCCCGGGGGGCAGCAACAGCACTGTCCCTCCAGGGGGGCCCAATCTGCCCCCGAAATGCAGGGGGATCTTGCCCGTGTCCCAGACTGCTCCGGGGATCTGAGGGCCTTCCCGAGAACATCTCGGTGCCGGCGTGAAGGCCCAGAGATCCCTGGGCACACCAGGAGAGCAGGCTCAGAGTCCCTGCCTGGGGCCAATTTGGCTGCCCGAAAGAAAAGAAGCCTCTAAGACTCAGCTGGGGAGTTTTAGAAGCCAGGCATTCCTTGCTGACAACACCCTGCACTGATCCCAGCCCACCGGGGGCCCTGGCCATCAGCTCCTACAGCACTTATAACCATACACACCTACCCTGATAAAGATTCTGAGGGGCTTCATCCAGGGGCCTCCGAGGTCTTCTCTGTCTGGAGCATCCAAAGTCCCGAGTGTCTGCCTTAGGAACCTCAAGACAACTCACCTGTTGACAGAGGAACTTGGTGCTGCTTGGCTGCTGCCTCACTTCCCTTCTTCCTTGTTTCTTCACCTCACTGGGTTAGTCCCTTTCAATCCCCTGGCTCAGCTCTGGGCACTTTCGACGCCACAGCCCCCTGCAAAAAGTATCAGCACTCGTTACACCTCAAAACTCAGACAGCATCCCCCCTTTTTTCCTGACACTTGGCCATTAGGCCAAGGTCTCCTTATTTAAAGCACAGTTGGACTCCTGAGGGACTACAACAGCTACAGCCCTGAATCCTAACACAGGCTGAGGGACAAACACGGATGATAACTTGGAAGGATCCAGTTTGTTCCGCTGGAGTCCAAAGGAGTTTCCCCAACTCAAAAATAGGGTGCCCAAGGTCCCTTTTCTGCAACTTGAACTGCTAGAAATGGGATCAACCAGGCCTGCAAAGGCCCTTTCCACTTCACCTGGACAGGCTGGGAGTCCCACCGCCCGACAGGGACCCAACGGCTGGGCAGGAACGGACGGGTTGGGGCGTCCAATCCATCGGCCGGGGTGTCAACGTCAATTCCGGGAGTTTCTGCAGGGCAGATCCTAAAGGCAGCAAAGAATTATGAGGATCGTTTTTGCTTTCATGGGAATAGCTCCTGTAATAGGGGAGCTTGATAAGGCCTCCTGGTGCAACAAGGACAGACTTACGGCCATCTACTCAGAGTATCTACTAGCACTGAAAAGGTATCACTGTCCTCCTTCCAGGGCTAACTGGAAAAAAGGCTGCCTAAAGGCCGCCCTTGCACCATCAATCCAAGGCAGGAAACTCTTACAGGGGGTTTCAAAAGTTTGCATCGGTCTTACCACCCCCGTAGGGAGCAATCCAGAGTCCTCACTGTCCTACCGTTCCCAGGAAGGCACTTCATGGACTGCCTGTGGCTCAGGGAGGGCTCAGGTGGCTTTGTTTCTTCCTTCCCAATTTCCAGAGTTTCTCCTTCAAAAGCAAAGGTTTCTTGGCTTGCCTTGCTCTGGGGATGCAGCAAAAGACATCTTTTAAATCTACTGCTGATCTTTTAAATCTACTGCTGGCATTCTGATTTTCAAGGATACTGGGGTTGCCTTACCCACACAGATCCCAGCTTAGGGCTAATACCTACAGGCTCTGCCCTCTTCCATTCTCCTGGAATTCCACTGGCCCTCACCACAGGAACAACTCCATCTGCCGCTTCAGTCGGGACGGTGCTGCTGACGGGAGTTATTCCCTGCACAAAAAGAGCTGCTGCTCTCACACAGTTAGTGTCAGCAACTACAATTTCAATCTCCCCATTTTCCAAGTTCATTTCTGCCTCAACTTGTCCAACCCATCTCTTCCTAGCAAAGGCTTAGGGGAGCTTGCAAATAAACAAACTGAGGAATTACCCAGTGTTTTCCCAGTTTAACCCCTGTCACACCAATCACCTTCCCAGTGCCATCCCCTAATTCTCCCCCTGGTCTGTTAAGGGCTGAGGAAGCTGGACCTGTGTCTGACCAGGACACGTGCAAACCAAACGGTGGGGACTGGAACCCACACCTTGCACTCCTGCAGCTCTCACAATTCCAGTCAAGAGAAAACAGCTAACGGTACCATCACCACTCATTCCTTAAATCCAATCCCACACTCCTTTTGCTGTTGGAGCACCACTTTTAGAACCCAGTTACAGTCCATTCCGGAGCTCCATGGCCAGGACAGACAGCTACACCTCTGATACTCTCAGGAATGCCTGAATCCATTCCAGGGACCTTGCTTTCAGCTCCCCAGCTTGGGGCACTCAGAGGAGCTCCCCGAAGAACAATTTCGGTGCGCGCTGGAGTTCCCCGAGTGTCCCAGCCCGGGGGGCAGCAACAGCACTGTCCCTCCAGGGGGCCCAATCTGCCCCCGAAATGCAGGGGGATCTTGCCCGTGTCCCAGACTGCTCCGGGGATCTGAGGGCCTTCCCGAGAACATCTCGGTGCCGGCGTGAAGGCCCAGAGATCCCTGGGCACACCAGGAGAGCAGGCGCAGAGTCCCTGCCTGGGGCCAATTTGGCTGCCCGAAAAAAAAGAAGCCTCTAAGACTCAGCTGGTGAGTTTTAGAAGCCAGGCATTCCTTGCTGACAACACCCTGCAGTGATCCCAGCCCACCGGGGGCCCTGGCCATCAGCTCCCACAGTGCACACAGAGGTGCCTCCGCTGCAGCTGATGGGAGGACTCAGCATTCCCTGAGGGTTCATTTTGTTCCCTGCATTCCTGTTCCACGCTCAGGACATTCCCCAGCACTTACAACCATACACATCTACCCTGATCAGGTTTCTGAGGGGCTTCATCCAGGTGCTTCCGAGGTCTTCTCTGTCTAGAACCCCCAAAGTCCCAAGCAACATCTACTTCTGTCCTGGAATCCACGCTTTCACCTATTTGTACAGAAAGGGTCAGGACAGAAAAGTATTGCTGTCCTTTACCTGCCCTAGGCAGCCTGTCATCTACACCTTCAATCATGGGGCTATGTGCTTTCCTTCCTATGGAAAAGAACATCTTAGGTATTACACTCAAAATATACACTCTGTCCCCTGTAGTTCACCTCTGGTTTTATGCCCAAAATATTTCCTCCAATTTTCATCCAGATCTGTTCCCCAAAACCCTCTGCTCACAACACTGTGCCAAACAACAGGCAGCAATAAAACTCTGATGCCTTCAAAACAGCCAGGTTCTTGGACAATTGCTATTTCCTTCCCCTCATTGTTGTTAGTCCTTCAGAAATAGTCCTTCATAGCCCAGTTATCACTACTGCCTCAAGCATTTCCCTCCCTGCTATTACCAGCACGTTTACACAGGCAAGGAATTTAACAGCTCTTCTAAACTTATCCAGGTGCCAATTACAGCCACAAAAGAAAAGCAAAAGGAAAAGAGGGCTCAGGCAGTCAGAGAGCTCTGCAGGTGGCACCAGGCACCATCACACTTGCTGAAACATGTCCTTTTGCAGAGAGAAGGAAACAGGCCAATATTATGGCAAGTTGTGCCCTTCCCACAGTGCTAAAAAAATCACACGCAGCATCAAGTAAGGCTCGAAGATAAGCTGGGGGAAAAAAATGGCAAAAGCACACACCCCAGGACATTCTCTTGCTTCCAAGGTAAGACCAATCATCCCTCTAGGAAAAGAGGCAAGGGTTTATCAAGGAATGCACAACTTAGCAAGTCCGTTTAACAAGTACCAGCAGGTTTTGTGCACAGAGAAAACAAAACTCCCTAGTTTTAGTAGCAAAACTATCAGTGGAAACTACAGTCTGGTTACAGCAGTAAGCTTCCCACAGCAGTTTCAGCTGCCTTCCTTTGGAGCCCAAAGGAGAAACTCCTCTGGACTGCTCCTGAGAGAGGCAATTAATAGGAACTTTGGTGCTCGGGAAAGCTAGTCCCTCCCCTAAGTCCTGGCTCACCTGCCCGAGCACCTAGAGTGCTTATATCCCACCTCCCTCCCTGCTTTGCATGTTCACATCACTCCTCTTCCTCATCCAGGTTACCCCCAACAACTATCTGAGCTTTACACTCAAAATACACACTCTCTCCCCTAGAGTTTACCTCTGATTTTAGGCCCAAAATATTCATTCCATCCCTAGGTTACTGTGGGGTTCCCTCGGCGCAAGCATGGACGACTCAGCACATCAATGTGATGATCGGAGAACGCCACTTATTGAAACCAAGCGTTGGTCTTTTATACAGTTTTCTAACAATACTCTTCTAGGACCTTTGTTTCTTTAGCATACTTTACGTCCTTTCTCACCCTGATAGCTGGTACTGAGACCCTAGTTTCTAGATCTAGTTTTGCTACTGTTTCTCTTAGGAAATCTTTCTCATCCTGTACCATCAGAAGGCCATCAGAACAGCAGATCATGTTTTCAGAATTGAAACATAAAATTATTTCCCATAGCAGCATATCCTCTAGTTAGCAACCTAGAATTGTGTTCCCACAGCAGCATATTTTCTATGCTAGCAACATCAGGCTATGTTCTCACAGCTTGCAGCATATACTCTAAATCAGCATTAGAAATCCCTATACCTGCAGCATAAGGTTATGCTTTCACAGGTGCAGCATATTATCTATATTAACACTAAAAATCCCTACAGGTTACCTAGATTTTACCATGAAAAAAACAACCCTGATTATCTCTATCTCCTCTGCAAAATGCTGTCCTTCTCAAACCTCTGATGAGCTTTGTGAGGTCTTCAGCTGAGAGGAGGAAAAAGTATTTTGCATCTCCATTGGTACAGGTGTCGATAGAGGTCGACAGAGCTTTTGCCTTTTTCAGACAATCACACAATATTTTGGCTCCCTGGCAGCTTGGATGTCACAGATCTCTTTTCCTACACCTGTGCAGATGCCACACACAGGTACCTATACATGTTTTCTCAAGCCTACACAGAACTGAGATTTCCTCACCCTGCACATCCCAAGGTGAGTACTCTGCTTAGTTAGTACAGCAAGCCCCCTCTACTTGCAAACAAGGAACCATTTTCCCTGGCCATTTCTCTAAGGGTTAGGATTTTTTTAAAACTGCTGTTGTGCCACCAAACCTGCTTGGGATCTCTCCTAGCTTTTGGCTGTCCTTGGATTTAAGAAGCACACACTCTCTTCCATCTTGCAACAGCAAAACCACAAAATGCTCCTGACCCACAGTGTAACCCTAAGGATGGGCACCCCCACCTCGCCATTCTGACAGAGCCATCCAGCACCCCCAAGCCACCCATCGGATCTGAGTAGAGCAGCACAGCCACGGTAATGCCAAGAGTGGGAAAGGCAGCCCCACTGATGGCATTCATGCAGAGGAGACATGCACAGAGGGACACCTTTGGCCTCAAAGAACCCATACTGAATTTCCTCCAAATCTGTTCCCCAACACCATCCGCTTGCAACACTGTGCCAAACAACAGGCAGCAATAAAACTTTGATGCCTTCAAAACAGCCAAGTTCTTGGACAATTGCTATTTGCTTACTGTTCTTCTTCCTTCAGAAATTCTGCTCCTAGCCCAGTTAACACTACTACCTCAAGCATTTCCCTCCCTGCTATTACCAGCACGTTTACACAGGCAAGGAACTTAACAGCTCTTCTAAACTTATCCAGGTGCCAATTACAGCCACAAAAGAAAAGCAATAGGAAAAGAGGGCTCAGGCAGTCAGAGAGCTCTGCAGGTGGCACCAGCACCATCACATTTGCTGAAACATGTCCTTTTGCAGAGAGAAGGAAACAGGCCAATATTATGGCAAGTTGTGCCCTTCCCACAGTGCTGAAAAAAATCACACGCAGCATCAAGTAAGGCTCGAAGATAAGCTGGGATAAAAAATGGCAAAAGCACGCACACCAGGACATTCTCTTGCTTCCAAGGTAAGACCAATCATTCCTCTAGGAAAAGGGAGAGGCAAGGGTTTATCGAGCAATGCACAACTTAGCAAGTCAGTTTAACAAGTACCAGCAGGGTTTGTGCACAGAGAAAACAAAACTCAGTGGGTTTAGTAGTTAAAAACTCAGTGTAAACTACTGCCTGGTTAGAGCAGTAAGCTTCCCACAGCAGTTTCAGGTGCTTTCCTTTGTAGCTCAGCCCCAAAGTAGAAACTCCTCTCCACTGCTCCTGAGAGAGGCCAATAATTGGAACTTTTGGTGCTCGGGAAAGCTAGTCCCTCCCCTAAGTCCTGGCTCACCTGCCCGAGCACCTAGAGTGCTTATATCCCACCTCCCTCCCTGCTTTGCATGTTCATATCAGTAAAAGAAACCTCCAAGTTCTTCCTCCAGTCTGAGCTGCATCTTCTCTGTACTCCCCCACTCCCCCACCTGTTCACGTGCGCTGCTCCCCTCTCCTGCGCTGCTTCCTGGCCCACGGCTCATCCCTCGGCCTCTTCCTTGAGCGATGATCCAGGGACCTCAGGTGCTTGCCCCGGCGAGACACCCCCACCATTACTCCTTGAAAGACTGATCCCCGGCAAAAGCTCCCTACAAAAAGTGGCCCAGATAACCACTCAGCAGGGTCCACCCCTCGTCATCCTCACTGCCCACACCTGGGGCTGTCCCGCTCCTTGGTCATCCTCACTGCCCACACCTGGGGCTGTCTCGCATGGGAGAGGACAGAAGGGTGCATGGAACCACAGGCGAGCCAGGGAAAGGGGCCGGCGCCAGCCGAGGGGCGCTGCCGGAGCGAGCAGGAGGCAGGGGCTGTTCTCAGATGGGGCCCCGGACCGGCGCTGGCTCGTGGTGCTTCGCTCTGGGCTCTGGGGTTCTTTTGGGCTGGGCTTGGGTGCGGGTGTTGGGGGACTGCGCACACCCTCCCCTGAGTCACAGCTCCGCCCCAGCTCGCTGCACCCTGCTGCACTCCCCGCAGCCCTTGCTCAGCTGCGTGGGGATTAGTGCCTCCTCTGCAGGTGGCAAATGTCTGTAAAGTAAATTGGGAAGCCACTGCCAGTCTTTCTTTTCCAGCCTTTTCTGCCCAGCACCGCAGTGGTCGAAAAGGAAACCAGAAAAACACGACCTCCCCCCCTCCAAATGCACCATGCCAAGTCCCAGCTTCTCCCGCTCAGCCCAGGCAGAGCTGCAGCCCTCGGGCCCCACCGCGCCATCCGTGAGGTCACCCGGCCCCCTGCACCGCTCTGGAACGCCCTCCCGCTGCCGCACTCGAACACAAGGACCAAAGCCCTTTCCCCCCAGCACAGCCCGGTCCCTCCCCGGCAGCCTCGGCAGCGCGGGAAGGGCCGGGGGGTGCCGCAGCCCCCAACGATGGGCGGGGTGCACCGGGAGGGGCAGCGCAGGGCGGGGGCGGGTCCCGTGGCTGCGACCCCCACAGTGGAAGGCACCCCCAGGGCAGCCCCGTCCGGCACCGCCGCTGGCCCTGCTCAGCCACCGCCCCTCGCCTCGCCCACAGCTTTAACATTAAGCCAAGATGTAATACAGAGCACCACAAGATGCTGTCTGACCAACCTGATCTCCTTTTACGATCAGCTGACCTGCCTGGTGGACGAGGGGAAGGCTGTAGATGTGGTCTATCTGGACTTCAGCAAAGCCTTTCACGCTGTCTCCCATAATATACTCCTGGGAAAGCTGGCAGCCCACGGCTTGGCCAGGTGCACTCTCTGCTGGGTTAAGAGCTGGAGGGCTGGGCCCAGAGAGTGTTGGTGGACGGGGCTGCATCCAGCTGGTGGCCGGACACCAGTGGTGTCCCCCAGGGATCAGTGCTGGGCCCAGTCCTGTTTAACATCTTTATGGATGATTTAGATGAGGGGATTGAGTCCATCATCAGCAAATTTGCAGATGACACTAAGTTAGGAGGGAGTGTCAATCTGCTGGAAGGCAGGAGGGCTCTGCAGAGGGATCTGGATAGACTGGAGAGTTGGGCTGATTCCAATGGGATGAAGTTCCACAAGGCCAAGGGCCGGGTCCTGCCCTTTGGCCACAACAACCCCCTGCAGCGCTACAGGCTGGGCACAGAGTGGCTGGAGAGCAGCCAGGTAGAAAGGGATCTGAGGGTGCTGATTGACAGGAGGCCAGCAGTGTGCCCAGGTGGCCAAGAAGGCCAATGGCATCCTGGCCTGCATCAAGAACAGTGCGGCAGCAGGATGTGGGAAGTGATCCTTCCCCTGTACTCAGCACTGGTGAGGCCACACCTTGAGCATTGTGTTCAGGTCTGGGCCCCTCAGTTCAGGAAAGACATTGAGGTGCTGGAGCAGGTCCAGAGAAGAACAACAAGGCTGGTGAAGGGACTCGGGCACAAGTCCTGTGAGGAGAGGCTGAGGGAGCTGGGGTTGCTTAGCCTGGAAAAGAAGAGGGTCAGGGGTGACCTCACCCCAATTCTGTCCCACCCCCCCGAGCTGGGCAGCTGAGGCCAAGGCTCCCTTCCTCCTGGCAATCACTGTCTCAGCACACCAAGGCCCATGCAGGGCAGCACTTGGGAAAACTTGGGAAAGGCAACAGGAAAATGGCACTGCCTGTCAGAAAACGAGTGCCCACAAACACACCTTTGAGACAAATGGAATAACATCACTCTCCTCCAAGAAACACAGGCCAGGCAGGGCTCTCCAGCCCAGGGGAGAACAGGCAGGAGAATGCAGGGAACACAGGGAGACACAGGCAGGCATTGCCACTTATTCCCTGCAGCCCTTTCTGCACTTGGGGCTCCTGGCTCTTGATTTAGAAAGAACTGGGGGGGGAACAGCAGAGCAGGAATGCCCCTCAAAAACAGGGGCCTTGGCACCTGGAGCATCAGAGGAGGGGAGACATGGAGGGGAGACATGGAGAGAGAACAGCAAAGGGGTTTGTTCAGGAACGGGCTGTATGTCCAGCAGTGATGGCAACTGGAAACACGGGATGCTGCGGGAATGCAGGGGGGGAGCACGGGCCTGGCTTGGATGGATCCCTTTGCCCTTTGCTCAGGGGCCTCAGCTCCACCCTCTGAGAGCAACAGAGAACTGCTGCAGGGCAAGAGTTCATTTAGGCACAAGTCAGTGATGCGGCCACTGGGCAAAGGGAAGAGGGGAGAGGAACTGACACCAAAATCACACAATCACCACATTACTGGGACTTTACTGAGCTGCAACACAAATACATTCACAGCAGGCCAGGGCAAGAGGTGCACACAGGACCACCAGCACAGCAGCTGGGCTTGCAGGAACACCCTCTCCTCAAGTTATGGAGCCGGGGGCTGACAGGTGGGATCCATCCTGGGGGGACTGGAGAGCACTCAGACATCAGGGCCGAGTCCTACCTGGTCACTGCAAGCAGTTCAGCCCCAGCAGCAGTGGGAGTTTCTGCCTCTCCCTCCAAGAGGATTTGGGACCCAACAGCTCAGTACAGTAGAATTCTATCTTCATGAATATTTTACAAAGTTGAGCTTCAGGAGAACTAAGGCACTTTTCATTATTCTGTACCCTTCCAGTGCTGCACTTGCCAGGATCCTTTGGGCATGAGGAACCTTCCAGAATGCTCCAAACCTTCACGGCCCACTTGTTCTTCTTGCCACACTTGGACCAGCTCAGTGTCCCTGCAGAAAGAGAAAATTCAATGATTCTCTCTGAAATCAGAACCTCCCCTGCTTTGCTTTCCCATTCCATGTTTTGTTCCCTACACAACTGAGGCCCTTCCAGGCCTTGCCAAGTGGCAGCCAAGGAATCCAACCCAAGAACCTGCCAGGGAGCAGCCTCTGTGCCACAGCAACAGCATTCCAGGCCTGTCACTGCCAACCCTCCGCTTCTCCCAACAGCTCCAGTGGCACCACAACTTGTCCTGAAGGCAGAAAGGCTCCTTTTGGGAGCACCACGAGCCATCTATACTGTAGCACTGGAATTCCATCTCCTGGACAAGCTGGGAGAAGAAGGGAAGAAACCAGGACCTTAAAGGCAAATTAGGAGCACCTGTTCATCCAGCAGCAGCTCCAATAAATGTACTGAGTCAACACTTCACCAAAGACACAGGACAGCAAGGGCCAACACCTTGACAATCACTTCAGTTTTTAATTTATAAAGCCAAATTAAAGCAAAGCTTTTCAGACACTTGGGAAGACTCAATCCCAGTGTAACCAGTTTGTGGGACTCATTCCCAGCCTGCTGAGGTTCATTTCCCACCTCACTCGTGGCTGCACTAGACCTGGTTACACACACACACACAGAAGGAGCTGCTGCAACTTGTCCAGTTTCCTGCTTCTCCTTGAAACTCCTCCAGCTGTTTGCCCAGCTCTCCAGGGTCCATTCCTTTGCCCACTGGACTTGTTCCCAGCCCCAGGGCTGCCAGGGCCACCCTGGGCTCTCACCTGCCCTCACACTGAGTGACCTTTCCCAGCCCCGAGTCCATCCAGCACTGACCGAGCTGCTGGGGGCTGCAGTTCTCCCTGCTCCTTCCCTCCCTCTGCCTGGAGAACACCCCTTCCAGCTCCTGCACCCCCACCTCTTACCTCCCAGAACAGCAGAGCTGCATCCTCCTGGATCCTCCAGCTGGACGCTGCTGGCTCTGTGCAGTTCCCACCCTTCAGCAGGGATGGCAAAGGGAGCTGGGACATCACAGCCCCCAAACCTGCCCAGTCTCCAGCTGCTGAACAGACCTGGTGCTGTGCTGACAGGCAGGGCACTCAAGGAAACGACTCACCAGTCATAGAATAATAGAAACAGTTTAAACAAAGACAGTTCAACACATCGGATACAGATTTATGGGATACAAAAGAAAATGAGCAAGGCATCAAATCCCGACTGCCCCGAGACAGAACTGTGGCTAAGCAGAAATCTCTCCCCCACGGCCCCCTCACGCTCCACCCCCAGCCCACAGGGCAGCTGGGCAGCCCCAGTGCAGCCGATCCCGCAGTCTCAGGGAACTGCCACAATTCCTACGGGTGCGTCCACCCACAGGGGAGGCTGCGGGGCGGCTCAAGAGGCTCCCGCTGGCCAGACTCTGACCGACAGAGCTGGCTTTAGGCCAGGCCTGGCACTGTCCGGCCGTGGGCACGGGCAGCTTCTCGTGAGCTCCAAGTTGGCCACCCCTGGAGCGCTGGTCAGGTGCCCCGGCAGGGACGAGGGTGGAGGGCACAGAACAGCTGCACACACCTGGCCTGCCTTTCTCCAGCAACACTCACACCAACTGCACACTTCAGCCAGGGCACCTGAGCACAGACAGCCTTCACCCTGTTCCTCAGGGGCAGCAGCCCCTGACAACATAGACAACAACTCCCTATTGTTCATAAAATCAGTGTAATTACTATGATTAATGGATGGAATAAAGTGTTCCAAAACTTCCTATCAGATGGTGAGAATGCTGTAAATATGTCCCCCCAGAGGTGAGCAGTGAGTTGTTCTACCTGATGCCCAAAGGTCACCAATGGACCCCCTCTATTTACTCTTTGCATTTGGTGATCAGGTCAAGTCTTATGGAGCCACACTCGAGGGGGCCAGGTAAACATGCCCTGCCTGCCCTGCCCAGGGAAAGGAACTGACCCCAGTGTTCCTCGGCACAAGGCAGCCCTTGGAAATATCCACTGCCCTTCCACAGTCAGGCACAGCAATAAGCACTCCACAAGGCTGCTGTGGCAGAGGACCAATCTGAAGCTCAGCTTTTCTCTGTACCACTTCACCTTGTTTGCCACCTCATCCTGTCCTCAAAACTTGCTGTCCTTGCACCTTTTTAGGCTGACCATCAGTTGAAGAGGCCTCCGCTCCAGCACCCACAAGGGCCTGAGCCCTTTGACAAGATGCATTTTTCCAAGGAATTCAAAGCTCCACCTGAGGGCCATGGGCTTTTCTCACCCACCCTTGTGCTGGAGCTCGGCCTTCATCTCACTCTGCCTTCGCTTCTTTCAGTGGCTGCACCATTTCCTGCCCTGCCTTGGCTGGAGCTCGGCATCCTGATCCCATCCCTGCCAGCCCCCGGAACCGCTGACTCAGCAATGGGGGGCCCTCCATTGCCAAGTGCACGGTCCCGTCGGGGCTCACGGGGGGAACAGGAGGTCGAAGGGCTCCAGCCCTCCTGGGACAACCTTCCACCACTACAGCCAACAAAGGAGCCTCTCCAGCCCTGCCTCCGAAGGCACCCTGAACAAACCCAGCCCAACTCCACGGGACAAACTGCTCCCTGTCTGCCCAGTCCAATCTGATCCCAGAGGCTCCCAGCTCATGCAGCCCAACTGCCCAGGAGATCACAGACTCTCTGGCCTTTCCTTTTAAACCTGTCCATAACACCAGCAAGTTCAGGCTGAGTAAAATCCTCCACCACATCAGGCCTGATGGGATAACCATCGGGGTCACCTTCCACTTTCCCTCCTGTTATTGGCTGTGCTTCAGCAAACACTTCAACCTCTGAACCGTGCTCAAAATCAGCCAAATCACAAGCATCTCCACCCCAGTTTTTGGAATCCCAACCAATCCCTGCCTCTGCAGTCACAGCATGCACTGGTTTACTTGACAACTTCGCTTCACATATTTATATTGGGCTACCTGGAGAGCCACTTCTGCTACTGTTTGACAGCTGTCCAACCTGGCCCTTCATAGGCCACAACTGTTTTCCTTAATTCCTTTATTCCAATCCCACACTCCTTTTGCAGCTGGAGCACCACTTTTAGAACCCAGTTACAGTCCATTCCGGAGCTCCATGGCCAGGACAGACAGCTACACCTCTGATACTCTCAGGAATGCCTGAATCCATTCCAGGGACCTTGCTTTGAGCTCCCCAGCTTGGGGCACCCAGAGGAGCTCCCCGAAGAACAATTTCGGTGCGCGCTGGAGTTCTCCGAGTGTCCCAGCCCGGGGGGCAGCAACAGCACTGTCCCTCCAGGGGGCCCAATCTGCCCCCGAAATGCAGGGGATCTTGCCCGTGTCCCAGACTGCTCCGGGGATCTGAGGGCCTTCCCAAGAACATCTCGGTGCCGGCGTGAAGGCCCAGAGATCCCTGGGCACACCAGGAGAGCAGGCGCAGAGTCCCTGCCTGGGGCCAATTTGGCTGCCTGAAAACAAAGAAGCCTCTAAGACTCAGCTGGGGAGTTTTAGAAGCCAGGCATTCCTTGCTGACAACACCCTGCAGTGATCCCAGCCCACCGGGGGCCCTGGCCATCAGCTCCCACAGTGCACACAGAGGTGCCTCTGCTGCAGCTGATGGGAGGACTCAGCATTCCGTGAGGGTTCATTTTGTTCCCCACGTTTCTGTTCCACGCTCAGGACATTCCCCAGCACTTACAACCATACACATCTACCCTGGTAAGGTTTCTGAGGGGCTTCATCCAGGTGCTTCCGAGGTCTTCTCTGTCTGGAGCCCCCAAAGTCCCAGGCAGCACCTACTTCTGTCCTGGAATCCACGCTTTCACCTATTTGTACAGAAAGGGTCAGGACAGAAAGGTCTTGCTGTTCTTTCCCTCCCCTAGGCAGCCTGTCATCTACACCTTCAATCATGGGGCTATGTGCTTTCCTTCCTATGGAAAAGAGCATCTTAGGTGTTACACTCAAAATATACACTCTGTCCCCTGTAGTTCACCTCTGGTTTTATGCCCAAAATATTTCCTCCAATTTTCATCCAGATCTGTTCCCCAAAACCCTCTGCTCACAACACTGTGCCAAACAACAGGCAGCAATAAAACTCTGATGCCTTCAAAACAGCCAGGTTCTTGGACAATTGCTATTTCCTTCCCCTCATTGTTGTTAGTCCTTCAGAAATAGTCCTTCATAGCCCAGTTATCACTACTGCCTCAAGCATTTCCCTCCCTGCTATTACCAGCACGTTTACACAGGCAAGGAACTTAACAGCTCTTCTAAACTTATCCAGGTGCCAATTACAGCCACAAAAGAAAAGCAAAAGGAAAAGAGGGCTCAGGCAGTCAGAGAGCTCTGCAGGTGGCACCAGGCACCATCACACTTGCTGAAACATGTTCTTTTGCAGAGAGAAGGAAACAGGCCAATATTATGGCAAGTTGTGCCCTTCCCACAGTGCCAAAAAAAATCACACGCAGCATCAAGTAAGGCTCGAAGATAAGCTGGGGGAAAAAAATGGCAAAAGCACACACCCCAGGACATTCTCTTGCTTCCAAGGTAAGACCAATCATCCCTCTGGGAAAAGGGAAAGACGCAGGGGTTTAT